AGTATGGTACTCGGAGAAAAAACTCGGGGGCCCTCTGATATGACTCACAGTTGCACTGCAGTCACTTCTCCCTCTGGGTCAAACCTGTGCGTGTGAGAAATCTCAGAGCATTCAGTGAGAACTGTATGACTTGGTCATGGGTTGCACTTGTTGCAAATATACCAAATGCACTGCAAATTCCAGTACGGTCAAATTAGCACTCAACTAGTTAATATAAATTAAAGTATTGATTTCAGCAGTACCAGGGTTTAGTCCTTCAGTCTGTAACATTCAAATCACAGTATTAATCTGTGTGCAGTAGCTTTCTAAATTTTCACTCTTGAAATACTTTACTCCAGTGGGTACAAAGTATATGTTTTGCATATGTTTTGTCTAAACCAATAAATCTGTTTTTATTGCAGGTTAAGCATAGCTTTTTAAATATATTGCTAGCTTTGTTCTGTAATTTTCCTTATGCTTATCTTGACAGACTCTTAGGTCAAAAGAATCTCCTGATCAGTAAACAATTTGAAAATATTACATAAAGCAGTATTTGGGCTTGTAAACTTTGAGTTCTTCTGAGATGGATTTGAACCATGTGATTTTCTTTTCTGTTTCTCTTTTTATTCTCTGTAGCAGCACTGCCAAAATGTTGCATGTTTTTGATAAACAGTTCATGAAATATCATAGCTTTTATGAAATACTAATGTAAAAATTTTAATAGCTCGATGTGTATAAAATCCCAAAGCAGTATCTTTTCAGAAAAGGTATTTTTTTCAGCACGAGAACTGCAATAATATGATTCATGAGAACAAAGCAAGTAAACAATGATTAGAGACAGGAGGAGAGGCATACACTGTCCTTCACCAGAACAAGACCTGTAAATATTTTAGCCAAGTTACTGTAGGTAACATATTCAGTTTGCAGCTAAATTTCATTATGCGATTAGTGGCTCAAATCTCATAAGGTCATCTGCATCAGTACTTGAACCAGATAGTCTCAGGTTGTGGGAAGCTGCGAGGGTGTTCTCCTTGTTGCTCTCTGAAGCTGCACGGGCTGTTTTGGAGCGCCGGAGTGTGACTGATCTGCATTAGGCCAACAAAACCCAGAGATCCTGTAACAGAGATCACTGTGAGAGTTCAGCCAGAAGTGTTTGTACAAAAGCTGACATTATGTGTCCAAGATAGAGTCATTCCTTCCTTCTCAGTAGCTGTTCTGATGTCATTTGCTTGTTTTGTTGAGGTTTTTTTTAATCTTTGTCTATGTAGCACTTGTATTTTCAACAGCCACAGTTTTCCCTAAACAGAGATAGGGAAAAGAAATGTAATCCTTGGACCATCATTTTTCAGTCTTTAATATTAAACTGCCTCAAGATCTTTAGAAAATGTAAATAAATACAAACAGGAATGCAGAATAGAAATATATTTTATGCTTCTTTTATTTGTTAGCATTTTGTGAACTTCAAAATGAAATTCAAACATTTATGTTAGGCCTGGGTTATTTTTCCTTGTTAAGTTTTCATTCCTGAGCAGCAAGCAGAGGGCTTCCTTTGCAATTGATACCAGCACAAACTAAATAATTGTTGCCTTGTGCTTAGTTTGTCCGTATCTCAGTATATAAAGAAACATTTGTAACTTTTCAAAGTCAATTAAACTTTCAGTGCTAGATTATCGCTATGCCAATCTACATATGAATCTGACCCAGGACATTTCTTCTTACCCTTTCTGCAGTGCATTTCTCCAGTGAGCTCTAAGTCAACGTTTCAATTATATGCCGTCCATGGTAGTCCCACAGGTACTGGCCATCCTGTGCCCCCAAAAGACATTACATGCATCAGAAACTTGCTCTTGTTTATCAGTCTCTAAAGCCAGACTGAGTGTCCCAAGCTTTTGGGAGCTGCAGCAGTTCCCACGTGCTGTGTGGGACACACCAGTAACTATCGCTTGGTTTCTGACCATATGACAAACTGCAAACCAACAGGATCAAGAGCCCGTAGGACTAAAAGCGGCAGATCATTTGAGTGGCTATCTTGGTCTGGATCATGAAGATTTTTATATGAAAAGGAAACACTCACCAATTCTGAGCAGTTATGTGAAATTGTCTTTGGGGAAGTAAGATTTCTCTGAGCTTCTGAGATAGAGGGTGACCTGTTGGGTGGAAGGCCTGCATTCATGCTGTGGTTTCTAAACAAGCAGTGGAAACCATGCAGCAGCTGTAAGAACAGTTCCCATTCTGTAGAGAACAGAAAGTACAATATAGGTAATTTTGTTTCATTGTCAAATTAGTTAACTGTTTTTCAATATTACCATTTCTATTACTTTTGCTTTAATATTTTAGAAATTACTTCGTATTTGGCAATATAATGAAATAAAGACATTATTGCTTTAAATGATGTAGAATTAAATTGTTTTCAGAATCTGCCTAGCAACAACACATGCTCTCCCTCCCTCTAGTGGAAGATAATGAAATTGTTTTCTTTCCATTTTTGCAAACATGTATCAGATAATACTATCAGAAGTTGAAAGCTTTTCTGAACAAGAATATATCATAAAGTGTTTAATGTATAATGTTATATGACTAGTAGCTTAATAAGAGATATTGTCATATTAGTATTTTTTCTGCAAGTGCAGTTTTTAAAGTGATCCTTAATTATATGAACTGTAAAATATTTGTGTAAATATTTGCAGATATCTAGATACATTTTAAAATAACAATAAAGGCCCAGCAGTTAAGATTAAAAATAACCCCTAATTTCAAAAGTAAAATACAGCATGCTTGATGTTGAACATGGGAGCAGCTTGCATGTTGGTATGTGCCAGACTGATCCTCAGTTTAAAATGCATGTGTCTAAATGATAAACTTTTTATTTTAATCCAAATGCTTCCAGTGTTTGTGGTGTTCAACTTAAGAGAAGAAGGAGACTGCCACAAGACTTGGATGCAATGTGTATATCCATCTCTTTTTCAAAATTAGATGTACAATCTGCTGTTTTGTTTCAGTCTCCTAATAAACAAATTTTTAAAGAACAGCATAAACATCTTCCAAGCGCTTAGTATTTGTTGTAAGTGCAAACTGCTTATGTAAGTAATGATTTACAGGACTAAGTCCATAATGAGGATAGTAGAAAATACTTCTTCTGTATTACTGATTAAACAAGATGTGCCTATAATTACTCCATTCCTAGTTTCCAAAATATAACAAGACCATTGTTTCTTGGCTAGATTCCTGTTACTGTTTCAGTGGAAAGTTTGGGGTTTTATTCTGCTGCCAGCTTCTTTTTAGCATATTTTTATATTTTTGGTTTTTATTGTCTCACTTTCTCTATTACTATTTTTCTTTCCCTTCCTTGTTGCCACACAAAACTTCACAGTGGTAGGTGGAGAAGCTGCCAGTCCAAGGGAATCTAAAAGACAATGCGCATGTAGGTAACTTCACAGTCTTCAGCTTTTAGGGAGAGGGGCTTTCTCCACCTGCAAGTCACTGCCTTGCACCAAGTGTGTCACTGTGAGCATTTTAGTTCAAATTAATTTGAGTTTGTGTATTCGTTGTTCTTACCAAGTCACTAGAGGGTTACAAAGCTACCTAACAAGCAGTGTTGGGTGACAGTTCTGGGTTGCCACTGTCTCACTCAAGTACCAATCTCTTAGCAAGGAGGAAAAGCTTTTCTTTTCTTGTACAGGGGAGTGACTCCAAGGACTGTGGTGCAATGAGTCACTGGAGTTGTGATTGCTGTAAGTAGCACAGAAACTTAAAGAGTGGGGTGAAAAGAGATGGTGGAATGCTCTTCAGAAATGCCAGTGTGGCCTCCTGACTCTATCTGTGACTGAAACTCCCCTCCAGCATGAAGAGAAGTCACGGAGGGACAGAGGCATGTAAGAAACAGTGCTTTTGTGGCTGGGGCAGCAGCTCTGCACTTCCGTCCCGGTCGAGATAGGCTGGGGTAAATGCATCCCAGGCTCTGGAATTTGACAAAAGTATTTACAGCCTGGTTAGTTTGTGCAGTATGTTAGGGTGGGTGACAGATAAAAAAAAGCAGAGGAGCAAAGTGTGAAAGGGACATTTGTCCGCTGACTGGTCATATCATCAAACGAGGAGAAAGAGGTAACAGGTTGCTAGCCAAGAAAATGTAGTAACGTCATCACACGCACGAGCCTGTTTTTGTTGGTTATGTTTTACCAAATGCTGTGTTCCTTTCCCTTTAGTGTACTATGAATGTAATAAAGATGATTGATTGTGAGAGAGAGAGCATCCGCTCCTAGGGCATTCAGAGTTGTCAGCTTTTCCCTGGTTTCAAAATGGAGTCTCAAATGGAGCCTCAAAATGGAGCCTCAAAATGGAGCGCTAGCGGTTGGTAGTTTTCAAAGGACTTGGCAGGCATTTGGAGATGGGCCTTCTGCTGCGGCAGCCACAGCTGCAGTGGCACCAAACACAAAATGAAAAAGAAAAAAAAAAAAACCCGAACTATTAGATGTGTGGAGTTGCATTAATAGGGAACGCAAATACGATTTCAATCTTTTATTTTTTGTGTTAAGGAAGGAAATTGTTAACCTTTATAAGCATCATTTTGGAAGCACTTTTCGTTCGTGTTCTGAAATGGTTTTTTACCCAATTAATGTATTCCTGTGAGATGATGATTATTTCAGCCTCAGTATTTTCAGGTGCACCGTCTTTGTTTTTGAGATTAAATATTGCAGACCCACTTCTCAAGATTCTCTTTAAAAAGGCATGTACTTTATTCAGCTCATTTCATTACTGACCTGACAGTTCCCCGAGTTTGTATTTTTTAATTTATTTCTTAACAGCAATGTAATGAGACTGCAATGAGAAGCTGTAATTAGTATTAATGAGGCTTCCTGGAAGGAACAGTCACCACAACATTTTATCGTCCCTAAAAATAATAAGGTTTCTGCGCCCCCGGTTGCTCCTTTCCCCCGCGATGTCCGCGTGGAGATGCCG